AGTACATTTTAGAAGGAGTAGTACTAGAAGCAGTATCACAATAATAATGACAACAATTATTATTATGGTTGGTGGTGTTACTATTGTTATTTTTGTAATTATTATGTTTGTTATTGTGATTATTATACTTATCATGATTATTATCGTTAATATAAATTATTATTGTAATTATTATAATCATTATTATTGTTATTATTATGATGAATATGAACATGATGATTTTGATGACGATTTGTATAATTAGTATATAGTATTATTATAATTGTTATCATATCATTATTATCATCTGTATTATCAGCATAATCTACAATGGCAGTGGTGTAGTATAGTACATGTAGAAGTAGGCCTAATAGTAGAGGTATCGTTCTGATCATTATTATTCTGATTATCTTTTGCAATACGTCTAGACGATAAACTCATGACAATTGACAATTGTCGTGAATCATTGTGTTTGATCTTTATTTCAATACAAGATCAAACACATGATGAAAATCTACTGGCTGCATGCCAATAAGTTCTTGACAACAATATCATTGTGAGCTAGTGCTATGCGATGTGGCGTACACATGGCAATCACATGGTAGATAAAATTATGATCATCAGTACTGCATGGGTCAAATAAATTAAAGAGAACTGAATTTGAACCCGGGCCATAGGCTACACCCTCTCGTTTATTTTACTTATTTCGAACCACTTTTTTGTAAGCATGATTACTCGAAAATGGCTCAATCAAATGCCTTCAAATTTGGCACACAGTATAGGCATATGAACAAAGCACAATAACGTTTTCAACCTTGACCTTGACTGATGAAGTCATCTAGGCGCCATTTTGTGAAATTTTCTGAAAATTTACTCATGATCATATTTTCATAACGGTAAATTATTTCTCATTCATATTTATCATGATCAAGGTCAATATCCGTCCGGTCAATTTCAGGTCAAAAAACGCGCACGTGCGCGTACGTCCGCGCGTCAATGCGCGCGCAAAATTTGAAAATGCCCAAAATCATCTCAAATTTTTTTTGCATACGTTTCAGGTCATTTTAAGCATTTTATAAAAAAATCGCGCACACGCAAATGCGCGCGCGTTTTCGTGCGTAACACCATTACACAACATAGAATCACCATTTTTTTTTCATGATATTTCTCATATTTTTTCAAGGAATTTGATACCATGTTTATCTCTTTATGACCATTAATAACAAGATGCGCGTCAATTCAAGAAAAATGTCCGTGCGCGCGAGCTCTTTTAATACATAACATATATGGGCAAAAACATGCCTATACAAAATCCATTATAGCTCTTTGGAATGCACCGGGATCCTCAATTTTTTTTCATATTTAGATAGAGTATGAGTCGGAGATATGATTTCATGTCTCATTTGGCCATTAAGTGTATCGTGACATCATCATGGCCTTGGAACTCAAAATACGAATTTGCATATTATGACGTCAGCATATTTATGGAAAATTGATTGTATCTCTGTAAATATTGATCAATTTTCTTCAAAATTTCAATATGTTGTAGCTAAGACAATTCTGTACATGCTTAGTAATAATCATTTTTCATTTTGATGACGTCATCATAGTGAAAATCTCGATTAAAGGCCTCATGTCAAAAGGCCTTCATAATTTGCGTTATCCCTATAGAAGGTGAATTTCATTCACGTCATGAAACTACATGATATTGTTTTTTAAGAATTTTTAAGCAGTATCTCGCTTATTTTTGCTCTATTTTGTCTCAAATTTAAGATGACCAGCCCACCTATACTTGTTCCAAACAAGTATTATATGTCTAGTTTATTTATTTATTTTTCTTACATCTAACCACTTTTTTGTAAGCACGATTACTTGAAAATGGCTCAATCAAATGCCTTCAAATTTAGCACACATATGTATAGGCTTATGTACAAAGCACAATAATGTTTTCAACATTAACCTTTACTGATGACGTCATCTAGGCGCCATTTTGTAAAATTTTCGGAAAATCAACTCAATCATGATCATATCTTCATAACCGAAAGTTTTTTCTCATTCATATTTATCATGATTAAGGTTAATATCCGTCTGGTCAATTTCAGGTCAAAGAACGCGCGCGTGCGCGTACGTGCGCGTCAATGCGCGCGCAAAATTTAAAAAGCTCAAAATCGTCTCAAAATCATTTTGCATACGTTTTAGGCCATTTAAAGCATTTTATAAAAAAATCGCGCACACGCGCGTAAAACTATTACACAACATAAAATCGCCATTTCTTTTCTTTCATAATATTCCACATATTTTTACAAACAAATTAATACAATGTTTGTCTCTTTATGACTATTAATAACGGAACGATCGACCGTTTAACATAAATTTCTGTGCGCGCGAGCTCTAGTAATACATAGCATATACGGGCAAAACATGCCTATACAAAATCAATTGTAGCTCTTTGGGATGAAACTGGAACCCCAATTTTTTTCTTCATATTTTGATAGAGAGAATGAGTCGGAGATATGATTTCATGTCTCATTTGGCCATTAAAAATACTATGACGACATCATAATGGCCTCTGAACTCAAAATTTCAATTTGCATATTTTGACGCCAGCATATTTTTGGAAAATTGATTGTATCTCTGTAAATATTGTTCAATTTTCTTTCAAATTTTGATACGTTCAAGCTGAGACAAGTTTCTACAAACGCAGTTGCTACGATCCTTTATTTTGGCAAAGGCATCATGGCGTATTTTTGCGATTAAAGGAGGCATGTCATTTTTTCACATTTTGCGTGTATTCTCTATGAGACATGACTTTTTCTCAAAACTGGATTCTACATTCCCGTCTTTCGTGAGCAATATCTCCGTCGTTTTAGCTTCGCTTACGCTGAACTTTGAGGATGTTGTAGCTGAGACTATTAGCTATCTCAAATGTGCCCTTCATTTTGTCTCAAATTTTAGTTGGACCAGCCCACCTATACTTGTTCCTAACAAGTATTACCAATCTAGTTAAGAACGGGATTAAACTGACTATTTTCGGGCTCGAACTGCTTGGAAATAGCAAATTTACCCGATCTGATTTTATATGAACTGACTGTGGACGGGGTACAGACGAGATGGACGTATTTAGGACTGTTTATGAACGATGAAGAATCTTACTTTAGACATTATTTACACATTGACCCCGACCACAACCCATTTTACGATGTTATAGGACGGTTCAAGAACGTGTGATAACTAGTTTTGTGTGATCGGGGCTCAACATCTGAAACAGTTAACCATGATATCCCTGGCAACAAGGGCGGACTTGTCATGTGAGTTTTGTAGAGATTTCTATTCAAAACCACTTGTCATTAGGTCTATAAATACATTGTCATAGTTGTATTGTTGGAATGCAATTGGCGTTTTGGTACATATATTCGAGTTCGGATCGTATACCCAAGAATATGGATTTTACATTGTTATTTCTTCTTTCATCGAGGTTGATTGGTGCCCCCCCCCACACACACACACATACATCTAAATCGAATCAAATGGGGATATTTATCTTTAACTATCTTTAACTATATAATTGGTGATATTGAACTTTGAGATGTTTTTATAAAGATTCCTTTTTTTGTACTCATGTAATGCCAGATAAATGAATACAATCAAATTTTGTCACAGAATAAAAATAATTTAGCCTCCTGTTTTTTATGTGAGAATTAACTAGGCGCTGTTCATTTATTCGATTTTTTAAAAATCTCAGATAATACACAAAGTAGCGCTCGAAAAATTGGCGTCTTACTATAAAATTGTGGATGTCTTGGAACTCTTCTAGGGAGGACAGCAGACTCCTCTCGGGTCACTTTTACCGAAATTAGCACAAAAAAAATGAGAAAGTTATCAACTGGGGATATCCACAGGTGCCAGTGTATCCCCACTAGGAAGATATATATATACATATGATAATTCCTGTTTCACACGTCTTACAACCCCCCCACACACACTCTAACCACATTGTGTCTTTAATTTCTATAATTCAATCAATGTCCATGCAGGTCCTTTCATTTCCTTGGTCCTCCAGAGGGTAGATCATCGAATCGTTGCCATGTTAGGAGGGGTAATAAGTGGGGTCTTTCTGATAGCATGCGGTTTCATCTCCAACATTACCGGACTTGGTTTCACCCTGGCAATCACAGGTAATAAGTGGGGTGTGTCTGGTATCATGTGGTTTTATTTTAAATATATAACCGCTGTTGGTGTCACCCTGGAGGTTACCCTCGGGCCTTTCTAAGTTAGGTATGGAATCATGTTTGTACGAAAGGGAGTAAAATATATCAGCGATAGAAGAAAACAAATGCATAAAACTTTTTTGCGGCAATCCTGCAGGCTCCATAAACACTTAGTGTTGAGTTGATAAGAAAAATATGAGAAAACTCTACTTCTATATGAAGTTGGAAACAAGTTGTACTTGGCCGACAAAACCTTTTGCAGTGGCATATTATCCGTTTTTATTGTATATTGAAGTAGTAGCGAGCAATGATATCTTTAGCATTAATCTGCAAAATGTTTCACTAATGCTACTTTTTAACAACACTTTGTTATATCATTGACAGGAATTGGCCGATGTTGTGCCTACTTACCGATTGCTCTCATGATGAACCAGTATTTCAAAGAGAACTATGTTCTAATGAACACCATAGCATCATATGGTACAACAGCAGGCGTAATGTTCCTACCCGTTATAACTGAGCGATCTTTAGAAGCGTACGGTTACTCTGGAGTTTTCATGATTCTTGGAGCGATCATGTTTCATAAGGTTGCAGGGGGAGCGGCCATTCGGAAACCAATCTTCATCATGAAAGATAACACCACTGGACAAAGTGATCAAGATCCGTCGGAGGTGACCCGTTATGAACTGTCGGAGGATGACGACGAGGAAGATGGTATAGAAAGAGGTGATCAAATGACCACATTGAAAGATGAATCGCGAAACGATACGGTCCAGGCCCTGGCAGAAGGCCGTTTTGACATCGAGGAAAACATTGAAAATAATGAGACACAAAATGCTGCAATCGAAATAAATGCTATAACAATGTACGAAAAGGATAAAGGGATTTTAGATGACAATGATAACTTCGAGGAGCACGTTCCTTTTCTAAAAAGTGCATGCGATCATCCTGGTGAGGTGGGCGATCTTACTGATGCTACAAGATCTGGTCAAGATGATAGTGAGAAATACAATTTCTGCTCATCATTTATATCTCGCTGCAAACTGTTTATAACCAAGGAAGCTCTGTTCTTAATGTGCCTCCCAGCGACTTACTTTCGTGACTATTCGTTCGAAGCATGGTTGTTGTACCTAGTTCCTCACGCAGAGCAGTTAGGCATCACCCCATCTCGAGCCGTCTTCTTGTCTTCAATTGGTGGAATCGGTGGGATTATAGGCAGAACCATTGCAGTCATTCTCCTCGTTAAGAAAGTACACATGTTCAAAATTTACATCATCGTAGGTTGTATTGCCAGCCTGTCGTTTTTCTTTGATTTCGTCGGCGAATCATTCATCATTCGTTCAGTTTGGGCATTTCTTCAGGGCCTCTGCTTTTTTGTACTGGATACTGCAGACGCAACTTTTCTTAAATTGACGTTGGTAGATGAAAGCAACTTCAGTTTCGGCCTTGGACTGGTGATGTTAATGAAAGGTTCCGGTAGTATCTCGGCAGGGTTACTCACAGGTAGACAAATATCTTGACACTATATAATAAAATATTAAATTCAAGCTTTGTATATTATTATCACAAAGTTGACTAAGACTAGAGAATACCCCTTTTTTGTCAATTCAATCTTCAATTTATTTATCATCCAACATGTTAAAAATATACATAACAGCAAGACATAAGCTAGCAAAATAATAAACGAAAGAATATCTTCAACAAAGTACACAGCTTGTATAACAGAACACCGTGCAGTTCATTGTTAATTCGTAGATGTTTCCTAGTAGGGATGGTTCAGTTGTTTAAAGTGTCTCTAAAACGCACATCAGGGTTTCCTCCTCCACCTCACAAAAGTGCGAGTTCTATTCACGTTCTAATCTGTTTCGAGATTTGTAAAAATAATAATCAGTGGAAAGCAATGCAACGTGTCATTAATTCTCAAATATCGAAACGATGTGACATGTTTTGTTTTCATTTTTTAAACATAATTTGTTAAAACTTTTATTTTTTTTACAAAAATCGAAACGGTAAGCCTGTCATTTTAGAGCAAACTTAGTGATAAGTATTTCGCCTAGGATTTTCCACACTATACGGGGTTTTAAATTAAACAATTAATCTATTTCAGTTTTACTCTTAAATATTTCTGTTATTTTCAAATAGAACCTTGAAGCACTCAGAGATCAAGCTGGCATTTTTATTCGATTGTTTCTTAATCCATTCTCCCATACAGGAGCTTTGTTTGACGTCATCCAGTCTTATACCATCGTATTCATGATGACTGGAATCCCTGTTTTGATCTTCACCATCAACGTTGTAGTCATATCGGTACTGTTAAATAGAAGAGTCAAGTCCAAACACGTTTAGCATCGCTCCCGGCATAATTCATTCAAAGGAATCCTCTCTTCATCCAGGAGCTGTGTTTGACGTCATCCAGTCTTATACCATAGTCCTCATGACGACTGGTATACATCGTAGTCGTATCGGTATCGTTGTTAAAGGTAATACAAAGTTTTGGGAAATTTTGGAAATTGGGTGGGTAGTGAATCTTTACAATTTTGATATATTTGGATGCCCCTGTGGATGTATTATAAGCACTAAAAAAATTAGCCCCTAAAAAATTTCTGTTTTCGAGAAAAATTGAATATAAAAATTTACCGGTGCTCCCGGTAAATTTTGATAAATTTCAAATAGCGCCTATGGCCGTACATTGGTAGCTGCGACCATGAAAATCTCAGAATATGAAGTTGGGATATATAATTTCCAAACGGGAATATCTAATCGCTCGATTTTAGTCAAGAAACATTGTTTCATAGGTATATTAATATCTTGACCTTGAGAGGGAGCTATACAACATAAAGAGTTTATTATCTATAATTTCATAACTTTAGACTCGATTTCAACCGCGACAACGATCAATGTATATTGTAGGAACGCATATGCTTCCAATATGTTAATTTGAACCAAATTCATGACCCCATACCAAAACTTTGTAATACCTTTAAACAGGAGAGTGAAAGATATTTTTGTATAACTTTAGCATCGCTGAACATTTGATTGTGCTTTATTTTAAGGAGTTATGGTTAAAATCCAACGCTAGAAAGAACGCAGTACTCGATCTCGTTTGTGGACATATGGTCCGCTGATACCACGTATGGCGTCGTTGAATCACTTAGAAAATCAAAAGATGTTTAAAAAAACTCCTCCCAACAGATTATTTTTTTTGTACAACTCGAACACTACTTTGTATTTTTGTCGATCATACTAATTCAGGTTGTTTCAGTGTTGATGTTTTTTATGTGACCGTGTAAAGAAATGGAATCAAGCAAGCATAATCTTTCTTTGACAACTTTGATAGCTGGAGTTTAACCAATTTGAACATAAACTTCAATGTGATTAGTCATGAATCATTTGCTTAAGCAGACAAGCATGTTATGATGTAAATTTTGAATTATGAACAATGATTTGTTCTGAATAATTTAATCAGATATGCCAACTTCAAAGTCTGTTAAGTTGGCCGACACATTGGGTTCTTTTTTAATTGAATTGAATTGAATTTATTTACCACTTTCATAAAAACATACAAAGGCAAAGAATACAATACTTTTTTGCAAACATAGAAAAACCACTAAAATGGAAAATACACTAAAGGAAATTACGAAGTGGTTGGATCATCAAAAAAGTTACAAAAACTTATAAGTAGATGATCCTAAAAATGTACACAAAAAAACGTAACAAAAAGGGGACAAAGAAAATACAATACTACAATGGTAATTACACACATAAAAATTGCGTTTGTCAAATTCAAATTTGCTGTATCAGGTGAAGTTTTAAATGATGCTTAAAACTGTTTGAAGATGCACACTGTTTAAGTTTAGGGGGTAGTTTGTTCCAAATAGTGGGTCTTTGAATATGTCATTTTGACTTATGCTACCTTGTTTTTTGGTTTTGTAATATGTATTTTGTTTGTTTATGGAGGAGAGTAATAGAAATTGAAGAATATTTGATGTAATACCTGTATCAGGTAATGTGATAGTTAATTGAGTAAAAGTAATATTTCTTATATAGTAGATGTGCATGTACATGTGTGTGAGAGGTAATCTACTTTGATGGCTTAGTAGGAAATGATGTAAATATAATAATAATTCATTGGTCAAGAGATAAGCATCTCAAAAAGGGTAATTAGAAAATCTGTATTCGTTAAAGGTCTTGCAATTACATGTATCTCCCTTGGCAGATTTCAGAGAGAGAGAGAGAGAGAGAGAAACAGACGCCCAGGTAGAGATAGAGAGAGAGAGAGAGAGAACCATGGCGTTGGTACAAGGAAATCCTTCTGTCCAATGAAATTGCCGTATACAATCGAAACCTTGGTCTATCAGAGCTACCAAAAAACACAATTACATACAAAAGGAAAATAAACAATAACATAGAATACAAAAAGTGGACCCTACAAAATTACCTTGTAACAGCGAGAGTTTGTTATAACTAAGTTCTTTACAAATTCATAAATAATAAGGAAGTTTCGAATCAATTTTAAAATTCAAGATCAATATTCACTATAATCTTGAGTTGCCACTTTGTTTATTTTATGATTAATTGATCATGTTGATTTTTTTCTCGTCCAGTGAAAAATTTCCATTCCATCAAAATAAAGGCGGATGAGAGAATGGCCGATTTGAGTATTTATAACAGATAACATCTTATTTTTAATCCACAGTTTATCACACATTTCTGACCGAAATGCCAATAGCAAATTTGATAATTTATATCCTGCTTATTTTTTAAGAATGTGTGCAATTTTTTAATAATATTTTTTGTTGGCTGAATGCGCAGGATAGGAATCGTCTTTCCTCGTAAAACATCCATTCGCTGCTTACAGTACGAACTGTTATTTCCTCAAACATTAGGCCTATTAAAATGAACAAAAGTTGCCCTAATCTTGAACCTTAGGTCACCCCTTCTGCCTCGTTCGTGTGTGTACTTGGGTTTTTACATAATTGTATCAATCAGATATGATATGAAAAACGTGACTCAGTTGGGGCCCTGCGTCCCTTGCTGAATCAGTTTGTAACTTCCATTGTTAGTTGGGCGTTGTGGCGTGCGACTGACTTGTTCATGGACATGGTAAAGAATATTTAAGCGGGTGCGGGCTATTTTTACAATTTTCTGATTCTTTACATTTCACAGTTTCCAAGCTATCGGAAAACTACATTAGAATGCTCAAACATAATGACGTTTTGGTCCAAAATATGATGTGAATTGTAAGTAAAATGATTTCCTGTCGAGGATCATTGTCAATTCTGTTTTTTTGTAGAGTTTACTTTCAAAGTGATAAAAAGTGAAAAATTTATGCTTGACTGTTCGTTGTGTCCGTTTTCAACTAGTTATAAATATGTCTATGATCTATCTCATCACCGTATAATAATGAATACTATTTAAACACGATAACACGCGTGGGAAAATTTAGATTTTCTCAGAGTGGTAGGGTGAACCATATCGCTACGCCATTTCCCAATGATACACACTTGCCTATTAAGTTGAAATAACTTTATCTTACTTCTTTTTATGAACTGGTTGTGACAATAGGATTTAGTCTTGATGAATAAAGTTTACATCTTCTCAGGACTGTTCTCAGGACTAAAAAGAGTTACCCCCTAGACAATCATCCCCGGCCAATTACCAACGGGACAATACCCCCCCCCTTCCCTTGGACATTTACACCCTGGAAAATTACCCCCGGAAAATTACATCCCAAGGCCAACCACCCCGTGGACAATTACACCCCCTAAAAATTACCCCCTTTGACAATCATCCCACCCCCTCCCCCAGGAAAATTGTCCTCGGGAGTGTTTGTCCTTGGGGTGTAAATTTCCGGGGGATTATTGTCCTTGGGGCAATTTTCCGGGGGTGATTGTACAGGGAGTTATTGCCCTGATACTCAAGAAAAACCGGTAAAACACAAATACTACAACTTGGTGAGCAACAGTCAACATAGTTTATTTGTGCGATTTTCAAACTACCGCCTCTCTCCCCCTTGATTTATTAAACAGTGAAAAACTTTTAACTGAACTTTTAAAAAGAACACTATGTGGAGTTAAAGAAAATAATATATATTCCGCATTTAATATATCAGCCAAGTTCAATTAAAACATGTTCATCCATCGCTTGAGTGCATCTTGGAAAGTAGACAAAATCCACAGTCTGTGACGTCGACGGTTCTTTATGTCTGACTCCACTAACCATCTCGTTGGCCCGAATTCACAAAGGAGGTTTGTCGACAAACCTTGGTTTTCGTACGTCATATGACGCGTTTTACGCGTTTTTTTTACAAACCTGGTTTGTAAAGAACAAAAGGAGGTTTGGCGAAAGAAAAGGAGGTTTGAGCTCAAACCTTGGTCTGAGCTCAAACCTTGCTTTGTGAATTCGGGCCTATAAGTTCAGACGGTATAGAATAAATGCCGGTTCTATCACATAATTTCCCATACCGGACAGTTATTTCTGTATTAATAACTTGCATTGTTAATGTCCCACTCAGGCATGGAGCAGAGAAAAAAAGTCGACGTTATGTCGTATCGGTATACTGTTGAACGTGCTTGCTTGCAACCACACTGGACGGAATTTTCAAAGGGCAAGGTTTGTACAAACGCGTCAAAACGCGTCATATGACGTACATACTCCTTTGTGAATTCGGGCCTCTGAGTGTGGAAAAGAATGAGAATAATAAACAGTGCTGGCCTTACCTGTCGTGATCTTTGATTCCCAAATCTGCTGGTCTACAACATCACATCTATTAACTGGAGATTTTAATATTGACTTATTTAAAGATGATGATAATTTTAATGAATTCCGTCGGCTTAACTCTGTACTTGGTATATTCCCGATTATAAAAGCCCCCAACTTGTATTACGCCAAGCACTGCTACACGTATTGATAATGTATTCACCAATGTTTTTGACTCAGGTAGTCTATGTTCAGATGTTAGTGACCACTTACCCATTTTTCTAGTCTCTAAAAGCTCTAATAACACTTATCAACCTATAGCTCAATTCGCTTTCCTCGGAAATACTCAGATGAATATATGAGATTTTCAATATGATCTTTGTCATGAAGAATGGACTAATCTTTATAATGTGTCAAATGCTAATGACGAATATTCCTTTTTTTATTAACCGTTTTATTCAATTGTTTGACAAGAATTTTCCATCGTCAAAAACTTTAGAAACTAAAAAAACGCAAAAAGAAACCTTGGATTAGAAAGTATTTATTAAGATGCATAAAGAAGAAAAATCGTTATTATAAACACTTTCTCCAAAACAATACATTGGATAATGAAAGAAAATACAAACAATATAGAAATATATTAAATAATCTGTTAAGCATGTCAAAAAATCCTACTTTTCTAAAAGTTTACAGTTATATAAACAAAATACTGAACAGACTTGGTCAGTTATAAACTCATTACTAAATAAGCCTAAACAATCTTAACCTGAATACTTTTTTAATGGGGGG